ACTTAAAATGAGCTACATATTGCAATACACTAAAAAACATCTAGGGGGAGAAATAAAATAAATCCCAAACTGTCACTCCCCTTTCTCCCGGCCGGGGTGGGCGCGCGCGGGGGGCGGCGGGTGTGCGGGATGTCTGTGGGACCGAGAGCGATATGCCATGTCCCCCCAGCGTTTGTTTCATAACATCGAAGGGAAAGCTCAAAAATAAAAGGCCTGTGGGCCCGAGAGCGATATGCCATGTGCACCTTGCGTTTGTTTCACAACATCGAAGGGTAAGCTCAAAATAAAATGAAGGTGGAGAAATAGAGCTCTAGAGGCTACAGCTTCGCAAAAAAGACCCGATGCGCGCCGGGCTGCGACGGCCCGGGATGAGCTCCCCACGATGCGACTAAGTGAGATCAATTGACCTACCGGACCTATAGTCCACCCCTATCATGTCTATACTGACTGCAGACGACCACATGCCACACAGCATCACGCACAAGCACAAGACACCGGATCGCAAAAAAGACCCGCGGTGCTCACACACACCCACGCGCTCGTGCATGCCGAACCAGCTCTAAAAAAATACCACCGGGACCGCCTCGCCAAGGCGCACAATAGTCCTCAGTCTGGCGAAGGCCAATTCTGTCATCCTGGGCGTCAGCAGCGTGCGAGGAAGCGGGTCTTCGTTGCGCGGCGGTCTTTTTTGCGCGGCTGTAGCCTCTAGAGTGGCGGCGGAAGGCTCCGGGCACCTCGGCGGCCAACGCGGAAGAGCAAGCCCCCGGGCCGTTCAGTCGAGTTCAGCATGCTAAGGTCAGCTCTGCGGCCCGCGGGCGCTGCTGCTCGGGCCACGCGGCCCGCGCTGCACACGGCAATGCGGGCGTGCGCCTCTGCAGTCACCAAGGTGACGGGCGGCTCGACGGGCGTCTTTCCGCAGGCGCCGAGCCCTCTGCAGGAGTTTTCGGTCGTCTACACCGACCGTGCGCTCAACCACATGTCGGAGCCGTTCAAGAAGGTGATGCTCGACATGGACGAGCTTCTCTGCGACATCTACGGCGCCGATACCGCTGTCATCATCCCCGGGTCTGGGACGTACGGCATGGAGGCGGTCGCGCGGCAGTTTGCGACGGGCAAGAAGGCGATGGTGCTGCGGAACGGCTACTTCTCTTGGCGATGGACCGACATCTTCGACACGGGCGACATCCCGTCCGAGTCGGTGGTGGTGCAGGCGCGGCCCTGCAACGTCGTCGAGGGCAAGCAGCAGTTTGCCCCGCCGCCGATCGAGGAGATGGAGGAGCGGATCCGCGCCGAGAAGCCGGCCGTCTTCTTCACGCCGC